TATGTTCTCTCACATTGAAAAATGTGCTATATCCCTTTTTTCCAGACTGGATGCTCATGATAGAAATTTCTTGAATTAGACTTTTGCAGTTCTCTCCGGCGTCCAGAGTTTCATTGTGTGCTTATTGAAAAAGCTACGCGGGAAAGATGATCGTAAGTTTACTTTTGCCTTTCTATTTGTGTGTTGGAATCTTGATGGTTGAACATATAGTATGAACTCAACTGACATGTTCCTTTGACAGTTGTCAATTCTGGCATTGCTGGATGTTGCACTGGCCTTGCCTTGAGCTTTCCAGGTACATTTATGTTGAACTAATGTTACTTAGTGACAAACTGACAATGATTTTGTCTGGTTACTGTACCTAATATGAAAAGGATGGTGTATGATATTGGGTATCATTACCATTTTCTGTTAGTACTTACTAGCCGAGAACTTGTTTTTGTTTATACTGTACAAAATATTTGGTGTTCTGGCTACTTGATTGTTCAACAGTTATTTTTTTCTGAAAATCTAGCAACGCTGAAGTGTTATGTGTAAATTCTTGGTTGGCAATCTGTATAAAACTCTTACTTCCTAAAACTGTATGGTTAGGACAATAATTTGCATTTGGTAAACTGTGTAGCATGTAGGTAGTCCATTGAGCGTAAGTTATATGTTGTGGGCTTGTAGTTCTTGAATTGGATTTCAAGTGATACTTATTTAGAGAGATCAGGTATGAATTTAAACTGAATTTTGTCTATAAATGCATGACTGCATTGCTTCCTGTAATTGTTGTATTTTATCAAAGCTGGTTTCCAAGAGGTTCAGTATCATGTCTAAGAAATTAACAAAATCAAGATACCTTTACTCAGGAGACACTTGACTACTTGAGTGTGTGTTTTGCTTGTTATTGGAGTCTTGCACCCACTGGATATGACTGGACAGGGTCCAACTAACTGATACGGAGTAGATGACACTTGAAACAACAATCACTCATGCATCTGTAGTGCTGATTTGCACATTTTGTTCAGAACAATTCGCTGCAATGTTCAGTTTCAGTTGGTGCTCATGTGTAATACGTTACCTGAAAAAGGTCAGTAGTAATATTAATGGCTAGCTGGACACGTAGTTATGCATGCATCTCTTGTTAGCTCAAAACTGCACCGCTATGTCGCTTTACCGGCACATATGTTGTACCTGCATTGCATTTTTCCTGTATTCAAGTGTCTTAAGGAGGGATGAGCCTATAGCTGGCACATTGGAAGGATGTTTCAAGATTTATTTTTTGTTTGTGGACTCATTTGTGCATGTGCGCCCAAGCTGCTCTTTAGAATCCATTATTAATAGCAGTCTATCTCTTAACTATTGGAGCTTTGGCTACATCATTTTCTCATGCGGTTTGGTTCTATCATTTTCTCATGCGGTTTGGTTCTATTATTCTCTTAACCCAGGAACACCTCAAGCATTGCTTCAGAGCTGCGCCACCTTCGCAGCATTCTCTTGCATAATGGAGGGGCTGAACAAGCAGCAGGCTGCAATGGCCCACACGCTCCGAGGAAACGCTCTGACCTTTGCGCACGAGAAAGGCGGCGTTCTCCCCCCTTTCATGCTTCCGCCAATTCTCGACGCATCAGATGCTCTAGCTTCATGCTGCCAGACCTTGGTGAAGCCCAAGCACTAGGCAACATCGTAGGGAGAGAAAGAGAGATGATCAGTAAAAACCTTAGCTCCAGACTTCCTTCGCGTATGTAGATTCGTTTCTGGAATTGTCAAGAGTGTAGATTTGCTTCCTTGCCAGGTTTTTCTTGCTGCAGAACGCTGTATGTGCTTCTTTGAGATTGTAGCTGATAAGAATTATGAAATTTCCGTCGCCCGACCTTCGTGTTCGTGCTTCTGTTAACATCTGAGATATGGTTTGTGACAGTAAGAATGAAGTGATGGCGGTTCTTCAGATTCTGAATATCTCTTATCCATACTGTATAACCACTGGTATTTTTACATTGCACTAGAATCCTACTGATTGCTCTGAAGTACGAACTCACTGGCCTAAAATTGAAGCTGCCAGTGGTCGACGAGATTGACTTGCAGAGGCCGGTGCGCCTAATGAATAATTCAGGCTGCAGCTGCCGGCGTCCACTTCACCACTCTGACCTCGCCGGACTTGTCCCCGGTGAAGATCACACCGGGGGTCCTGAGTGACATTGCTGTGACCTCGCCGTTGCAGCGAATCTGCCCTCTGGGCTTGAACGACGGGAGGTCGCAGACTCGGACGACTCCGTCGCCGCGCGAGACGAGCAGGCATGGCGACCACCCGCTCGCCTTCTTCTCTGTGGGTGTAGTGCACCTCCAGCTCGGGCTCGACGTCGCCGGCGCGGTCCGGCTTGGACCTCCATGCCTTCACGGTGCCGTCGACGGACGAGGAGAGCAGGAAACGGTCCCAGCACAGCAGCGCGGTGACCATGGACGCGTGGCCGGCGAAGCTGCAGACGCACCGGCGCGTCTCGAGGTCCCAGACCCTGATGCCGCCGTCCGCCGCGCCGGAGTAGAGCGCGCCCTTCCCCTGGGCCAGCGACGCGACGGCGTGCCCGTCGTGGCCCGCGAGCGCGGCGACCTCGTCGAACCGCTGGCGCCCTGGGTCCAGCCTCCACATGTAGATGGCGCCGTCCTCCACGCCGGCGAAGAGGCGCTCGTCGTCCTCTGCAAGTAGGGCAGTGACCTGCGCGGCGGCGACGGGCAGCCGCAGCCGCAGCTCCTCGCCGCTCCCCGCTTGGAACGCCCTGACGGCGCCGCGGACGCGGACGAGCACCCACGGGCCCATGGCGATCAGGCGGCCCACCTCCCCTTCCTGCACCGGCGCGACGCGGACGCACTGCCCGGTAGCGCAGTCCCAGGCGCGCACCGTGCCGTCCAGGCTGCCGGAGAAGAGCTTGCCGGACCCTTCGGGAACGGCGACGCCGGTGACCGCCTTGGAGTGGCCCTCGAGCCGGGCGACGCCGCGGATGCCGTCGCCTACGCACCACGCGCCACTGCCGGGTGGTTCCTGGACGCGCTCGGGAGGCGGCAAAGGGACCGCGGCCTCGCGGGCATTGGTTGCGGGGCTGGGTTTGGCCTTCGTCGGCGGCGGCACCGGAGGAACCGCAGCCTCTCCTTCATCGGTTGTGGCGCTGGGCTTGGCGATTTTGGAGGAGGTGTTGACCCAGGTGTTGCTGCGCTTCTTGGCGACGACGACGACCGGCGGCGGCGGCGCCGGATCGGCGTGGAGGAACCGGCAGGGGTTCCGGCCGCAGTGGCCGGACTTCCAGTAGCGGCAGACCGGCGGGGGCGCGGTGCCGGGACACGCAGGATCGGCGCGGCGCAGCTGATGCAAGGCGGGCGGGAGGGGTTGGCGGCGCTGCACGGCCGCCATGGAGGGAGGCGGCGATCGAATGGGAGTTGGGGAATTCCGGGTTCGCGTTCAGCTATATGTAAGATCGGCAACGGGCCCGAGCCCGGCTCCTCCGGTTCGTGCCAGTAGTACTACTTACCGACTCCGGTATGCAAAGTGCACACGGCAGCGCGTTGGTGGCTTTGCAATAAAAATCCCTAGATTACACCGTGAAATTACATTATTTTTTTACAATTAATGTGCATTAGGTTTCTCTGGTATTTAATTTTGAGAAAGAGATGTATCACACCATATCAAAAACATAACCATATCTTTGTGCTCCCTCCGTTCCGAAATATGTCTTTTTAAAGATTTCAACAAGTGAATACATACGGAGCAAAATGAGTATATATACTTTCGTATGTGGTACTTCATTTGATATCTCTAAAAAGAGAAGTATTTAGGAACGGAGAGAGTAGAAGACAAACATGACGGTTTCATCCTCTTATACCATGGTAAAGGGATAGCAATAGACTCCACGCCTAGTGAACGCGAGGGCGTGTTTGGTGGCCTTCTCACCCTTGTTCTCCATCGAGACATGCTGACTCTAGACATGTCCGAGTACATACCTATTGGCGTGGTAGCATCCATGCCAAGCTGACATTTTGTTTGATAGCATGTATATGAGTTTGGTGTGGTTACTTCATTCCTGATATTGCAAGAATGCCACCACAATCATGTACTCTTTCTGTAAGGCCCTGTTTGTTTGGGCTTCTGCTTTTGCTTTTGCGGCCTTTTCATTTTGACCAAAAAGACATAAAAGCTCCTAACTAGATTCTTTTGGGGCTTTTATGGCTTTTGATGAGGGCCTAAGACATTTAGATCATTACTTTAGTGATCTAAAATGTCATGTATTAATTTACAAAGGGAGTAAGAATGGAAAAAAAATGCATTTTATACAGAGTTCCAGCAAGATTTCAACATAAGTAAATATTTGCACAAAAGTTTAGATAATATCAAGACATGGAAAACATTGAACCAAGTATCAAAGAACAAGGCAAACAACATTACTGCTCTTTCCAATGTCCTCTCTGACATCTACTCCCTCCGTCCCAAAATATAAGAATGTTTTTTCAAGCTATGTTAGCTTGAAAAATATTCTTATATTATGAGACGAAGGGAGTCTTATATTTCTTTACGGAGGGAGTATTTTTTTTTTTGCAGAAATTCATTTTTTTTGCCACCAAACACATAAGAATGCAAGCTATTGAACATTCAAGCCTCCTTCAAAATTCTCATAGACTCCACCAAACACGCCACGGGTAACTTAAGCAATTCAGTCTCAGGTTGTCATGGACGAAATATTTCCTTTTTCAAAATTCTCGCAAGGGTAAGAGTAATCATGCTGGAAAAGCAGGTAATGAGAGTTCAACTGATTGTGCCTTTGATATAACTCGAAAAATACAGATACAAAGGGCAAATGGAGAAACACATGTCCTCTCTGCAGATAACTCCATAGTTCTGGTGACAACAGAAATGCAATTCTCATAGTAGGCAAGCTGTGTATGATGATACTAATAGTCTAATACTACCACTCATTTAACTGCCCACTCATCATGACTGATATCAACCAAGGGTTCCTCCGACAGGTCCATCCTCAGTTCGTCATATGTATGCTGGCCTCGACTTGCTTGGCGGTTAACAGGGCACGGACTTCGGTATCTTGATCGGCCATCTCGGCGGCTGCCTGCCCGTAGGTATTCTCCTTCTTGGGGCATGCGCCAGCTTCGAGCAAAAGCTTGACGGTGTCCATGTGTTCCCCTCTGGCAGCATGGTGGAGTGGCTGCACGGAGCAAACACATAAGGTTATAAGACCACGCCGATGGCACATTTGCTGCAAAATCAACATGGCTGGCATATGATCGAGTGGTCAAGAGGGCTTACAGTATCGCCTTCAGCATCAACGGTGTTGAGCATTCGCGTTGCACAACCCTCAGCATTTGCAGCAAAACTGAGAATGTACCGAACTATCTCAGTGAAGCCTGTACAAAGAGTGTCAGTAAATAAACTAAACACATTGAGTGCAAAAAGGAAAAAAAACAGCTCACTGCAATTAAAAGAATGCATACCTCCAGCACAAGCATCATGGAGAGGAATTGCCCCTTCTTCATCTTTGCACTCTAAGTTTGCTCCACGTTCCAGCAGTAGCTGACAAGATGAACATGGTTAGATACAACCATTGAGCGGAGAAAAATGTCTAAAAAGGCCAAGGAAAATGTAAACCTGCACGCAAGGTAGATGCCCATATAAGCATGCCAGGTGAAGCACAGTATCACCATCTTCAACTGGATCATCAATGCTGCCACCATAGTTATCTGCGTAAACATAACAGTGGAATCTAAATAAAGAGCTCCATCGATATCAGCCACATATGCAGGCATGTTTTAGCAACAAGACTTCTGAACCAGTGCAGCAATATGGCCCGACACACTGAGATGGTTAGCAATCACCATACGGACCTCAACTAATCATTATATGATTGTAACACTGCAAGAGTGAGATCTGATAACGATCACTTAGACAAACTTGAAGAGAGAACTCAACAATAACCATGAAAGATATGCATCCAACCTATGTACCCAGCTCTACCCCAGCCCAGCAATAGCATTTCCCTTGTTTAAGTTCCAATTTAAGAACTATTAATTTATGTATGCTAGTACAAGACTAAAAAACATAGAAGTACTTTCTTTTTACGAATATATGTTCCTAAACAATGGAGATTATATCCTTACAAATTTCAAGTTAACCATAAAAATCACCACAAGGGGGTGTTCTGAAGATGAGACCCAATGAAGATTGATAACATTCATGGGGAAGGTCTGATTGGTTTGCTGCCCATACTAGCCCTGCCAAAAAATTGGGTGCCTATCAAATCTTGGTCATTGTCTGGTTTGCAGTCAAATTTTTGGTTGCCAATGGGTGTCCACCATTCCTCTCACAGATTATTGCTAAATAGTTGGCCAAATGAGGGTGAGGAATTCCTTGACCAAAAAAGTGGCAAGCCAACTCTTACCAACATTTGGTAGGCTAGTGTGGGCATCAACCAAACACAGCCGACATGCCAGCCAAGCAAGCATAGCAAGCAATTCAGATAAACAAGCTAAGATTCCCAAACTAGAGTTGTCCTTCAAATTTTCTAGGGTTAGGCAAGGAAATTTAAATTGTGTTTGACATAATAGGATGGCTTTTAAAAAGTGCCTGTGTTTTGCTAATTTTAGAAAACCAACTGATAGACAAATATCATCTCAAGAGCCATACAGCAAATTGTTTCATTCCATTAAACACTAACAAATGTTTTTCTCCAACAAACATTTTGTTGCTTCCTTGGCATAATACAGCATCCCCTGTCTCCCACAAAGATAAAATAAAAAGTACAGCATTACCCGGATGGCTCTAAATCGATTGCAATAATAAGAGATTCCATTGGCAGGTTAAGTCGCCACGTTTTCAACAACATATATGTCCTAGATTCCAGCAACAAAATTTATAGCTTATCATACATATATGTGGTAATTCCACACGCAGAAATGCATCCTAGTGCTACTGGATTAAGTGAAGACTTTGCTCCTGGGTCACTGAGCTGATGGAAGCACACAGAGGGCGTGTGCAGAAGCGACCCAAACACAACTCATACATCGCAATCATCCAACACAAGACTTGCACCAGGAAAATCCAGGTAGAAAATACAACCCGATCCGCTGACAAGTGACAAGGCCATAGGTTCAGGCAGGATCACTAAACTATACGCTGAAACATCTGCAATTTTCACGGGGACGCCATGAAAAGCGGCGGTCTGGCTAGTGAATTAATCGATACAGTACGCGTACTCTGCTCTAATCAAACAACCTCGTAGAACCCTAAAAGTATAATCCAGATTCAGGGGGGCGGAATTAAGCCTGTACCGAGCGCGGTGCGGAGGGCGTTGACGTCGCCGTTCTGGGCGGCGTCGGAGAGGGCCTGGAGGTGGGGAGGCAGCGGCGCCTCCTCGTCGTCGGAGGGGGCGACGAAGGCGCCGGCCTGGTCGGCGACGTCGTCGTCCTCGACGAGGCCGTTGCGGCCGCCGGGGACTGCCATCTGCGGCGAGGCCTCGCTGGGTCTGGGTCTCCGCGCGCCTGGGCTTCGGTGGGCTCGCGAGCGTGTGCTGCGCTCTGACGGCGGCTGCGGTCGAGACTTGTGTCGAGAGCCCACGGGGACGAAAAACCTACCTAGGCGGCGTGTGCCCTTTATCTGGCGACGTCGGATCAGGAACAAACGCTCTAGATCATACGGAACAAAATGATCATATGCAGGAAATAGATAGTTAGGTCATCCTAGCCCTAAGAGCATCTCGAGCCTTTCGCGCCCGGAGCGTTTTTAGGCGGAAAATAGCGCCTCTTGGTGGCTTGTCGGCACTATTTTCGATGTCGGGGGCTCTGGTTCCCAGCCGTCCCCCAAGTTGCGGCCCCAGCTGCCGAGTTTCAACTCAGATTCGGCACAAATTCGTTACACTTCGGCACAAATTCAATAAATAAATATTTTTTATCACATAGTTCATCATAGAAATCCATACAAATCAAATAGTTTAATGGCGCAAGCTCATAATTCAAACACGAATTAAAACACATCAAACTATGTGTTGCCCTTGAGCCTTCATAGGTGCTCCACCAGATCATGTTGTAGTTCTTGATGCACTTGTAGGTCTCGGATCTCCTGACGTATATTGAGAAAGGCAACCCATGCCGCTGGTACCTGGTGATCAACAGTTGCAAGAGGACCCTGCCTGAAATATGGTTCAGTGTCAAACACTGGCTCGCCCTGCTCGCTCCCAATAATCATGTTGTGCAAGATGACACAACAATTCATCACCTCCCACATCTGATATTTCGATCAGGTTAGAGCGGGGTACCGGACAACAGCAAATCGAGATTGGAGCACACCAAATGCCCGCTCGAGATCCTTCCTGCAAGCCTCCTGACACTTAGCAAAGTAGGAGTTATTGCCTCCTGGACTGGGTTTGAGATAGTCTTCACAAATGTTGACCATCTTGGATAGATGTCATCTACTAGGTAGTATCCCTTATTGTAGTGGCGCCCATTGACGTCTAAGTTCATCGGAGGAGCATGACCTTCAACAAGCTTGCCAAAGACATTTGAGCACTGCAGGACATTGATGTCATTGTGAGTTCCTGACATACCAAAGAAGGAGTGCCAAATCCAGAGGTCATGTGTAGATACTTCCTCAAGTACCACACTGCAACCTACTTTCGCGCCTTTGTACATCCCCTACCAAGCAAATGGACAGTTTTTCCATACCCAATGCATGCAGTGGATGCTTCCAAGCATCCGAGGAAATCCTCCTGCTTCATTCTGTGCTAGGATCTGAGCAGTGTTTCAGCATTGGGCGATCGTAAGTACTGTGGTCCAAACACTTCCACCACTACCCTGCAAAACTTGTACAAACACTCAATGGTGATGGACTCGGCCATGCGTCCATAGTCTTCTTGTATATCACCGGGAGCTCCATATGCAAGCATCCTCATAGCCATCGTGCACTTCTGGAGTGAGGAGAATCCAACTGGGCCGGTGCAATCCCTCTTTCAAATGAAATAGTTGTCGAACTCCCGGATGGCACTCACAATCTTGAGGAAGAGCTTCCGGATCATCCGATAACGGCGCTGAAATACTTTCTCGCCGTGTAGTGGATCATTGGCGAAGTAGTCGGCATAGAGGAAGCAATAGCCCTCCATTTGATGCCTCTGCTTGCTCTTGTGGCGGCCCGGTGCTGAGCCACCTTGCAACGACTTTGCATTCTTCACGAACAGGCCGGACAGAGCGGCGAGGATCATGAGGTGTTCTTCGTCGTCGGTGTTGGCCTCGGCTTCCTCCTCCATCAGAGCTGCGAACGCCTCCTCGTCGTCGGAGTCCATCGTCGAGCAAGCAAATCGTCGAACACCTCATGGGCGTGGTGGGCGGGTAGCCGCCGATATCCTCGCATGCGTGGTCGAAATCCTGGAAAGATCGACCAGGAGCGGGATGGAGGCTGTCGCGGCGAAACCCTCTCTTTTAGGCGAGGGAATGGCCTTTCTAGCAGCGGAGTAGCGGTTGTGGGCAGAGAGGTGGCGCTGGTATCGGCATGGCGGCGAAAGGGGAAGTGGTGTTCTTCTGCGCGTGGGTCGAATCTGGGCGAGGAAAATGCGTTTTTCGCCTGACAGTGGTGCTCCACGCGCCACTTTTCCTTTCGCCGGAGCCTCCAAGTGCCCCCTAGTGCGATGGGGTTCGGCCTGGGATCGCCGGGCGCAAAATGGTCTGGATCGGTGGAATTTGACGTCCTGGGGGCGCGACTGGGCGAATTTTTTTGCGCCGGTAGAAAAAAAGGCGCCGTGGGGGCCAGTTGGGGGTGCGGCTGGAGATGCTCGAAGGCACACCCCTATTTTGACACCCCTCTCCTCTTTCATACTATCCCTCTTTTCTTCATCCTCCCGTCTCATTGTGTTTCCATGAGTTTGACGGTAGTGTCTTCCCCCATTCCATATTGCCGCCCTCTTAGGAACTTAGGAGAAGATGGTTGGAGGTGTTGCCAACAACCTTGTGATTTCGACCCTTGCCATGATTGTAGCCGGTCATTGCATCATTGGCACACCATTGCTATAGTCAATCAGTCACCATTGTCATAACCCATTGCGTAAGGCGATGATCGGTGAAAACCGCACCGAACAATTATTATGAGGGGTAATAAGATATGTGAATAGAAATCTACCTTACTAATTTGCTCACATAAAACAAAATGATCAATAGTGGAGAAGGATTTACCTTTAAAAGTTTTTGGAATCTTTAGGTTTTGTTTCCTCTTGTAAGCAACAGCTTTCTCCATTGAAATGATCTAGATGACGACTAGAGGGGGGTGAATAGGAGTTTTAAAACTTTTATGGATTTGGCTTTATCCTAATGCGGAATTAAACTAACGGATACTTTTTAAGCACAAATCCTAAATATGCCTAGGCTCAACTAAGTGCACCAACAACCTATGCTAAACAAGATATGCACTTAAGCAAACTAGCAAGCACAAACTATATCACAAGATATGGAAATGAAGGAACAACTAAACAATTCAACTAGCACAAGATATATCAATATGAGCAAGTATGAATTGTGGAAAGTAAAGGGCGTGGGTATGAGATAACCACAAGTGAGTCAGGGACGCGGATTTATCCCGAAGTTCACACTCGTGAGAGTGCTAATATCCGTTAGAGCAGTGTCGAAGCTAAAGCTCCGGGGCGTCACCAAGTGACTCACCATATTCTCCCTTTCGAGTCACCCCCAACGGATGAGCCTCGGCTCACTCGGGGTTGGTCTTGAAGGCGAACACCACACCTTCACAATCTTCTCCGGAGCACACCACAACCATGGAAGCTTCCGGAGGAACTTGACCACCCAGGCCACTTCACACCCTTCCCCATAGCACACCACAAAATGAAGCTTCCGGAGGAACCTTGGCCACTTAGGCCTCTTCACAAACTTCTCAAAGATCTCACAGAACCGTCTAGGAGGCGAAGCCTCCAAGAGTAATAAACTCACGGTCTCTCACTCGAACAAATCGATGTGGGGAGCTCAAACGAATGCTACAAATGCAATGCAAGGTCAAGCAACAAATGCTCAACTCACTCTCTCAAGAAAGTGGGAGATTGAAGAGAGGGGATGCAATGGAGGAAATCAACAAATGACTCCAAGATCCATCCACAGATCCCCCTTCACTTAGAGGGGAGATAGGGGTTTGGGAGAGGTGGTAAGAGGCTCAAAATGATGTTTAAAATGTGAACCAACAGCCCCCCAACCGGTGGGAGGAAGGAGCCCTTAAATAGACAAAACCCAAAACTAGCCGTTGGGGCTCAACGGGCAGTTCCTGGACACCCCGTGCCCATGGGGGTTTAGGCCCCGTGCCCACGGGGTCCCATGTGCATGGTTACACGCCCGTGTGCATGGGGCCCCATGCCAACGGGGGTCAAGAACCCTGTGTCCACGGGGTACTCAGGACAGCCTACAGCAGCCCACTAAAACAATGATAACTTTGGCATACGGACTTTGAATACGATGATCTTGTGCTTGTTTCGAAGATATGGAAAAGCCAAAGGTCCTCACATAGAGAACCACCCAAGATCAACAAGAAATAGTGATGCGAGTAATGCAAAGGTTTGAGCTATCTGCATGCGACGTGATCAAGCTACTTGCCCGAGAGTCCCTCTTGATAGTACGACTATCAAACCTACTATCTGGTCTCCCACCAAGCACTATGAGACCGGAAAAAGTAGGAAAACCTAGCTAAGTTATACCTTTGCCTTGCATATTCAACTTGAGCTTGGTGATGACTTCAATGCTTGTCTCAAGTTGGAATCCCATTCTTGTCCACAACCACTTGATGAAGATGCTTGAATTGCTTCCTCATATTGCAATGAGGGGAGCCTTAACTTAAGCCCATCTTCACATGAGCATTATCATGATGTGGACCACAAGCTTCAAAGCATACAACCTCCGACTTATCATCTTGCACTTGGACTCCTCGAACCCGATGACCATCACCACTTGATGTCATCCACACATAGGCTACTTGAGATCTTTCCTTTTGATGCAAGCCCATGAGAAACACCTAACCCACATAGACATAACAAACGCATAGCACGGGTTAGGTAACAAAGCACAATTCACAATTACTTAGCATACCACTAGATCACTTGATCCCACGTGGTACAATGTTTGCCCTTTGAGAGTTTACAATCTAGATATAATCTTTGAACTTCATCTTGGTCAACCAACATCTTTACTCCAAGATCCATCTTGGTTTCTTGAAAGCCACAATGAACTCTCCATTTCCCTTCATTGCTTCAAGACAATATCACCAAAGACTCTTTCATGGCCATATCAAGTTCCACTATGAATATCATCTTGGTCACCACTTGCCCTTCTAAAAACTCCATCACAATCTCTTGAGAGGCATAATGAATTCTTCACTCTAGTTGTTTGCTTCAAGACTTGATCAACCGAAAACCAACACGTGTGCTCACCATGATCTTATCTTGAAATCATATCTTGAATTCTTCTCTT